CACAATCTAATTAGAGTGAAACAGCATAATTTTCCTATAAAGAAGGCGTGTCTTACTAAGTTGTGCTTTTTAGATGAGATTACCGATGTCTTGATAATGGGATGTCGGTAGAGGTATGCCATTTAAACTTCAGTAAAGCTTTTGTCTCCGTGAATCATAGACTTTTAATTAGAAGCTTACATGGTTTGGATTGCATTCACAAATATTACTGTGGCTTTCTGAATTCTTACGTGGAATGACGTTCAGAGTCAGGGTTGGGGAAGCGAGTTCTAGTGTGGACCATGCCTACAGCGGTGTCACCCAAGGTTCGGTACTGGGTCCATTGTTGTTTCTTATCCATATAATTGACCTGGCTCCTCTTATTGAGGATTCCTGCTATATCTTCGCAGATGACTTAAAGCTAGTCAGTAGGGGAAACCGAGCGACATTGGCTAAGGGCATCATCCCTGTGGTGAATTGGTCGAGCCAATGGGATTTACCTCTGATTGCCAATCAATGTCAACTATTGAATAATAGTGGTAGGAAAATTGCAGTGGAGTCTCCTGTGGGATCTCTATAATTGCACTATAGTGATGAAGCCAGCGAACTAGTTGCTATCATAGTGAACAATTTTAAGCCTTCGTCACCGTGTCGCAATGCTGCTAATACAGCGCGACATGAGTTATTTCGTCTTAGGAGGGTGCTGAGTAATACTAAAGCCGAAGTATTCTTGCCGTTATATAAAGCAGTAGTTAGGTCACATCTGGAATACTGTGTTCAGACCTGGGCACCGTACCTCCGTAGTGACGCCATGTGCATAGAAAAGATTCAAAAACTTGCGACTAGGATGCTCGAAAGTCAACGATGGAGGTCGTATGAAGATCGTCTAAGCAGTTTGAGATTATTTTTCTTGGAACGTCGTAGGTTGAGAGGGGTTGCTGGAGACGTCTAAGATAATTAAGGGACTTAGTGGTATTACTCCCACCCATCTGTTTGCGTCAGCTACGTCGGACCACCTGAGCGAGCAACTCCTGAAGCTCAAGCAACATAGAGCTCGTTTGGACATCAGGGTAAAATCTTTTACAAACCGAGTAAACATCTGTAATAAACTGCCTTCTGATTTAGTGGAATGTGAGTCTGTAGAAGCCCGCAGAAGGGTTTAGACGAGAGTTGGTCTGGCCTTTTCCCACAGATATTGTAATTGTACAGGAATATGGGGTGTATTCTGATGCTGAAACATGAAGTGCAAAGATTGCTTTTGTTCTTGCTTCATTCTTTTGCAGAAGCAAGAAGAGTCAGTCAAACGTCAAAGTGCCGGGGGCCGCTTCACTTACCGGCACAAGAAGTAGGACTCTCGTTAGGCGGAAGCCTCTATCGTCCGTTGTACTTGACCTGACCACTATTCCTCAAGAAGCCGATCGAGTACATCGGCGATCCATTGCTCCAAATTTTCTGGCTCTCCCTTGCGGAGGGCCGCTTACCTAGCGTTTGAAAAGTATAAATAGTAATGTCAACTTACGAAGGAGGTGACCGGCAGGACCCCGCGAACTACCGGCTGATATGTCTGACGTCTGTTGTCTACGAAATCATGGAGAGCATAGTCAAGCGCGCACTCAAAGCTCACTGGGAAGGCTTATGCGTAATCGCCCTTTCACAGCAGGGCACGATCCTGCATCGCTAACCTGATTGCTGCCAGAGGAGCATGGGTTACGGCAACAGATGAGAGGATACACCTTGACGTCGTCTTCATTGACTTTAACAAGGTATTTGTCAAAGTGCCATGCAAACGGCTGCTCATACTTCAGGGAGTTCGTGTCACCGGGAAGGTCTTGTCCTGGATTTCAGACTTCATGGAAGCATGAACCATTCATGTGAAGGTAAACCAAACACTCTCCGTCCGTGTGTCTATGACCAGTGGGGTTCCCTAAGGCTCTGTCCGTGGAGCAGAACTCTTCAAACTATACATTAAAGATCTTCCAATGACACTTCAAGCCGACTGTCTAGTCTGCTCTGATGGTATCAAACTGTGGTCAGCAATATCTTGCCCCGAGGATGCCGACAGACTCCAAGCTTCGCTTGACCAGTTGCATAATTGCTCCGTTGGGTGGCGAATCCCGGTAAACCGTGACAAATGTGCCGTTCCCTAATTGGTATTCCGGATCCGTTAGGTGTGTATCAAATCAAAGGATATCACAAGTATGTCAAACATGAGAAGGACTTGGGAAGCATCGTCTCGCACGATCTCAAGACATCCATTGACATGCAGACGAAGGTCACGGAAGCCAGCTGAATGCTTTGGGCTTTGCAAAGGTGGTTCTGCAAAATTAAGACGGAAGTTTTTAGAATCTTATTCGCTTCGCATGTTCCTCTGAGTATAGAATACGGTCTCCCGGCCGCCTAACCCCTAACGAAATCTGAACATGATCTGATAGAGAATGTGCAGAGGCGCAGTTCAAAATCTATATTGGACCTTCGGGATCTCCCTTCCTCCGACTTAAGACGTTGAACCTGTTCTCCATGGAATACCGCCGTCGTCGTGATCTCTTCTACACCAGACGTGCCCTAAGGGTTGAGCTTGGAAGTGAGCTGCGGTAGTTCCTCCATCTCAATGTGGGCAGCGCGACACATGATCACAAGTTGAAACTACTTAAGCCGAGGACACTTCGCGCCCGTCCGCAAGCTGCTCTATCTTCCAGAGTAGTAAATGACTGGAACAGTCTGCCGAAACACATTATTGATTCGCAGACAGAGGAAAGTTTCAAATGATTGCTAGACCCTTATCTAACGCACATTGTAGGGTCTCACTGCTCTTATTTAAAGGGAACGATCTCCGAAGGAATAATGTTTCTCGATAACATGCGTCCACCTTGGAATTACTCGGAACCGATGGAGCTGACAAAAGCACTCCCTCCTGTTCTTAATAGCCCAATGAATGCATGAAACAGCCAGATTTGATGCTTTCCACACATAATCAGTGTTATGTAAACTTTTGGTTTTGATGAGAGCTTGCCGAGAAGTCTTTAACCTGAACTGATTTTTAAGGTTGATTCACCTTAATGAAATGGGCATATTTGCTTTGCCGAAGACCAGCGTTGCCCGTGATTCACCAAAGAAGCATTTTTACATAAACAGCCAAGGTGCCGTACTACAAACGATATGGTGATGATATTTTGGCTCGTTGTTCGACGGAGCAGCAGCTGGAACAGCTGGTAGAGCGCGACAATAGTGCACATGATAACTTACGGGTTACAGGCGGAGTAAGACTGGAAAATTGGCTGCCCTATGTGGACATTCTCCTCAGCCATATGGATGATAGAGTAAGTAAGAGGTCTGTTCATCAGAAATTAACTTGGACTGGGTAGTAATTGCAGTTCACTAGCTTCACACCAGTCATCATCATCATCAATACGCGTTAGCCGATGGTGAGAAACGTCAGCTAATGTGCAACACATCAGTGCGATACAAGACTCTAGTAAGTCGTACCAGACGAATTTTTTCGGCCGACTGTCTGATCGATAAGCCAGTGTTAATTACAGCAACACTTATGGCGAACGCCTATCCTCGAATATTTATCGAGGAACACAGCCAACCACAAGGACCGAAGGATTTCGTCCCCATGGCAGCCAGGAAGAAGGTTTGCAATGTTCCCTTTCAAAGATGATTTAACGATGCTGATGGCAAGTAAGCTTATAATCACGGCTACGCAAAGAAGCTACTACGCTGCAACAGTTGTCGTTATCAATCGAAACTGAAATTTGCCCGTAACTCCAACCACGGAAGATCAGCCCATCAGGGCCAACTCAAACTGTGTATACCGATTCGCGTGTACCTCCGGAGCTGGTCATATAGGCAGAACTGATAGGATTCTGACTTCCCGAATAACGGAACATGTGCCGAGGTGGGTTCGACATGAAATTGCCCAGATTCCCCACCCGCCAAACCCCGTACTTGCGTCGACCACCGGCTGCTTCGACAAGCAGACATCTATTGGTCTCGGGTCACCGGATAGAGGTGGACTTAGTGTTCAAAGTTGCGTTACATTTGCTGATGTTATCGCTATAAGCGAATAAAGAGCGTCCTGCGCGTTTATAAACAGTTATTTTTAGCTTAAGACTTCCCTGGACGTAGGGGTGAACTTTCGTCACTCACCACACACCTCAAACTTGTTAACAATACCGAAGAGACAGTATACAGTGAAGGCATCTACCAGGTTTCGTCTTCTTTCAGTGTTATTCAGATATAAATCATACAGCAGATAAAAATTGCCAAGCGAAGTGCTAACGTCTACCCACTTAGGAATAGCCTCATATTTTATCACCGGCTACTGAATAGACAAAATGGTCCACCGACTCAAGCTCACGCATTCTGTGAGAGCTGTATGACTTAGGGGTGACTGAGCATTCGACATGTAACTGCCCACACAACTTGACTTGTACGAACGCCATCCTGAGGGTATTCAAGTCACTTGCACACTTTGCTCTTGTTCCGATTTCCTTCGTGTTTCATCCTTGCCATCATCGAACACTGAATTACATCCCATAATGTACCATTGTTGGCCGGTGGCCGAGTGGTCTGCGTGCCTGGTTTGTAACCATGAGGTCCCCGATTCGAATCCGCGTAGGGGCCGGCGTCCTCGTAGTGTACTCAGACCACGCGCGACTGGTGGTGAAAAGGTGGCAGCGAAGCACGGTTACAGCGTACAGCTGACATAGTGTTTTTATTTTATCATTCACTTTATTAAGAAAATCTGGTTTGATCATGGCTACAATTGTAGTTTGAGAAATTTTATTACTTTTACAGCAAATTGCAGTTGATCTGATGCTACTGAGGACCTTGCAACGTGGAAGCAAATGAACTGATACGGTGGTGAGAAGACAGCAAGTGCTACAGCTTACTAGGTCGCCGACTAGTCTCACAAGTATTTAGCCCCACTTTTTCGAAAAGCATTGGAACTAGTCAGTAGCCTTATAAATTTTTGAAAGCTTTATACCATTATTCTCTTTTCGCCAATTACGCTTTAGTGGCTCACCATTCCGTTCGCAATGACGAATGAGGCAACAACGCCAATTGACCAAACTTGGGATCGATGGAAAGGTGCTGTGGAACCAATAGACGCACTGAGCTACGCGGACAATCTTTTAATGTTAACGTTTGGAGGGATTCCTTGGCAAGTTTACTTTCAGGTAAGGATCACCGTGAGAAACAAACCTATAAAATCAGCACATAAATTTCCTAGGGAATGTTGAGTGGCATTTCACATGAAACTAGCAATATGAATGCCAAGTGGTTATGAGGGACCATGGAGACCACGTTGTATCGGTGAATAAACGTAACATATTACGCTTCCTGTGCGAGATCTGTCTCCGCCCCTCCGTACGAGCTTTTATTTTATCAATAGCCTTGTCCCCTCCAACTGCGAAAGTAGTTTAAAGTATTTAACAGGACACCGAAACATGTCACGTTGTAGCAGCACTACAAGTCAATCTTTGTTGCTCTCCAACCTCCAGCTAAGGTGTATAATAACGATTACCGCTGTTGATGCTACAGTGTTAAGTTAAGCTAAGTTCTGCAAAACTCATGCACTGCAATCTGAGCTCTAAAAAACGCACCAGCTGACTGTATATCGACTTCCAAAGATATAAAACAAAAACACTGAAGTGGGTCTACAGCCTTGCCATTCTTCAGTCATACCTTATCCAGCGCGCTTCTTGCTAAGTCGAAACTGTATCACTAAAGATTCAACAGGCATCTCTGAACACCGTCAATGATAGTTCAGATTTCATCTGCTGACACTCGCTTTTATTAACATCTTTGCTATCATCACTGAATACATGGGTTGCAGTTGAAAAATGGTCCTTGTCGGGGGCCCATTTCACATTACTGACCTGACGTGAACGTGTTTTGAGTGTATTAACGGGTCCAAGTTGTTGCGACACCTAGTCAGAAGAGATGAAACGCTCATCAGGGCAGTTCTTCACGTACCAACAGAATTCCTATAGATATGATCTAAGTGACAGCCGCCAGATGTTGTTCACGTGAGTTGAGACTGGGGACGAAAAGGTTCACTCCGATTGCACCGAGACCAAGAAAAGATTGACCGATAGCAAGAGCTCGTTTACTGACTTAGCCAGGCAGACTGCAGATTCTACATCTTCATACTTATAGCTCAATAGTATTTCAGCGTAACATGTAAAATATAGAGGGAAGGTGAATGTTGGCAAAGCACACGAGTTGCCACGTAGTGTTAGTGCCCTGAGGGAAACAACTGACAACAGTGTAGTATTGTACGGTAATTACTACGGTGCCCTGAGGAGAGCTCAGATGGATCACTGCCTCTTAAGGTAGAAGATACAGCAATATCCTATGGGGTCGGTTGTTATTTGCGCAGTCAGAGTTGCCGCATTGTGACAGTATGGCTGAGAGGTGGGCTCGGATGAAGTCTGCGCAAGTTTCGCGAGGCTATACGAGCTACGCAACATCGAGGAAGCTCAGCAGCGCATAAGCGTTGTCCGAAAAACCGGTAGAATACATACACGAGGCATAATGATTGTGATGAAACTATCGGCCCCAATACTTCCGATCATTGGTAGATATATGACCTGATTCCTCTGCCAACTACACCATGAAGAGAGAATCGTAGTACAAGCAACTCGATTTGCTCAGCGAAGGAGTATTGAGAGCCACATCGTAGAAGTTAGGTCATGGAGTTTGACGTGAAAGGCGATAACACAAACGCGAAATCTCACAAATGATAGATGTACCGAGAGATGGGAAACGAAGAGGTATAGTGCTACACAAAGATGAGACTAAACTAAATGAGAGGGGATTTGTGGCATTAAGGACAAAAATGATATGTTGAACAATGATCAGCAGAAATGTTTAGTTAATGTATTCTAACAGACTGTCTTGATTGGAAATTTTACAGATCACAGATAACGATACACAAAAATAAACCTTTTAATCAGTTCTCCCATCGGCGCGCTTTCTCCCATACTCCTCCTCATCTCTTTTCAGCGTGTCCTTTCGTGTAAAGGAGCCAGACAAGCACAGATACTGAGCTACGTCGCATCACTTGGATGTTTTCTCATGGCTATTCCCTCCGTGTTGATTGGAGCAGTGGGGGCAAGCACAGGTAAGTCACCACGTGCGGCTCAATCGAGCCTTGATGCCGTTGCTTAAGTTGCCAAGGTAAAAGGATGGGTAGAACTGACGGCGGGGTTCTACGTCTTTTCAGTCACCGAATGTGCTACAGAATGGGGTCGAACGCTACATGCAACATAGTACCAAACATCCGTGAATATATCTGTTCGCAACGGTCTAAGAATAGACATGGGGCCATCAAAAATCAGAGTAATCAAGGGAGGGTACAGTTGTAGTAAAAAAAACGGACACAACACAGAAGTCAGAGAGCACGATATTACCCGGTTGCCCAAGCCAAGGTAGGGTGTTGACTTGGAGGACACCACCATGAGCCTTTGGCTGAATAGCCTGCCAGCAAGACAGCGGAGCGAATACAGGGAATTGCGCCAAATGGGAGCCGGTGACTGACTGCTCTGTTCATTGGATTGATTGGTTTGATTGGATACCAAACATGGGCCTGGTTCTCCCCACAATTTCAGCATCATGTTGCTGGACTACAATGCTACGCCAGAGTGAAGCAAGGGGCAGTAACTTTATTTAGTGGCGAGTCACATCCGCCACGTTGCAATGTTGTTAAACGGACATATGCGGCTTTGTACAGGGAGAATGCTTGCCAGGCGATGACCCAACACGTCCTGAAACACTGCCGCTGAACCATCTGCTGAAACGGGAGAAACTCGAACCACCCAGCAGGCACCACGTGGAGGTTGTTCGGCAAGTCAGCCGTGAATTCGCTTGATCTGTTTAATATGGTAGGCAACCGTGTGTTTAGGATGTGATAAAAACAAACAGCTGTCACAGAGAGAACTGATACCTGTTTTCATAGTAACGAAGGATAGAAGAGGTTGTAGTTGGGCGACGTTTGGGGGCCGGTGTGTTAAGAGACTTTCATATCGGCTAAGCGCTTTAGGCAAAATCGCAATGCAACTGCAACCCAGCAGTTATGCAGATGATTGTTGAAATATAACGACACAAGCAGCAGCATTAGTAACGGTTTCTCCGGTCTGGTGGCAAATTTGCTTATGTTGACCATTGCAGAAAAAACCAGCACGGAAGTGAACAAGTCTCAGATTACAAATAACCTCTATTGTTTTATGGGAGCCAATCACGAAATGGGCTACACTGATAGAGATATTCAAACAGAATATAACTGTCTATATCCCTCCAGCATTGCGATTTAGTGAAGCCGGCAGATGGCGTGTAGTGACGAGGGTAAGGACGCTTAACCCTTAGAGCGGAACGTGGATAAAACCAATTACCATAACTCTCATGTTAAATAAGAACCACCAATGGTAAGCGCTAAGATAATTTATTTTCATAGCCTATGCACAAGGTGTCTAAGCTGAGGACGACACCGATACACCAGACTAGCTATGGGATCCTATCCGAATCGGCAGCAACTCACAGAAAAGTGAGTGCGATTCGATTCGAGGACGGCGCGAATGTGTGCCGAGCTACTCAAACAGCCGCAGGTAAGCGCACATGGACAAACACATTAGATTCCCTGAGTCATCATCATCATCATCATTATACACGTTAGCTCCAGGTGAAAAACACCTGTTATTGTGCTGCAATACAAAAGACAATAAGAAAAAACAACAGTGACACGCCGGCTGAGTCCCAGTAACGGATGGGTATTGTTCCGGAGAGCTAACAGCCGGCTGTCGTGTCGCAAAAAGAGAGTTATATTAGGTCTAACGAACGAGATCGTGATTGGAGGGGGAGACTAAGCAGGAGGGGGATGGACAAAGAAGGCACAACACAAACGCCATTGGGGCCGGCTCCTAGCCATATCAGTGTGTCCAACCAAACGTGTTCATGGTCCTTAGGACCCCAGCCAGGCAGTGGAGATGTACCGACCGACGCCAGTTTAGAACTGAGGGTTTCAATTCCTCTCGACTTAGGCATCACTTGGCCTCCCCTCCCCCTCTTTCGCGCCCCTGCGCGCAAACAATGCACCTCGCGGGAGTCAGTTTGCTGGCATGCGTAACATGTGGCCAAGCCATCGGAGCCTGGTGCGTGATATAATGGTGCTGAGCGGTTCACCCGCTCTTCCTGCACCAAATACTCAACGCCGAACCCGTTCATTGCTTGCGCGGTGCTCCTACTAGACATGAGCTAACCTGTGAAGGCAGTGATGCTTGACGAACCTCTTTATGTCTGTCGACCTGATGGGTCAGATTTCACAACCGTATAAGAGGGTTGAACGGACGACTGCATTATGAACTCTGTCCTTCAGACCGAGTGATGTCGCGACTGCGCCACAGGTGGCAGATATTGGCAAAAACACCTCGAGATTTTGCCATACGGTTCGTAACTTCATCTTCGATTCCAAGGGCGCTAATATAGCTGCCTACGTACTTGAATTCCTGAACGACTTCTAGCTGATCATCACCAAGGGTCAGCGTAGGGGTGAGTCCCTGCCAATCTTGGAGAAGTCTTTTGCATTGTGATGGAGCAAAGCATGGCCAAAAAGGATTGACAGCCACTGCTAATCTGTCCAATGCAGTCTGGCACGTTTGAGCGCTGTCACATATGAAGGCAATGTCGTCCGCATACTTCAAGTCAAGAAGTCGCTCACCAAGAAGTAGCTCCGCATCTTCTAGGTCGTGTCCAGCGAACGCTGTTTCCATGAGTTCATCAATAGCGAAATCAAAATGGAAAGGTGACAGCGGGCAACCTTGTCTAACACCGCTGGAGATATTGAAGCGCAACGACAGTTTGCCATAAACCCTCACTCTGCCCGAACTATGCACATACAGCGCTTTAATAATGTTTGAATATAGGGGTTTGGATGCTAGTGCTCAGGCCTTCCCGCCTTCGTGTCCCCCCTCTTGCGCTTTTTCATGCTTGGCGTCAGGTTCCAACTTCACTTTCATCCCCCCGTTTTCAATCCACCAATCCTTGGCTCACCCCCAGCTTGCATGAATAGTCACCTGTATTCTAGTTTCAAATCACACACAATCGCAGGGCGTCGCTCCAATCCAGTCGACAAGCCCATGTTCAACCAAGCGGACAACGTCAGTTCATCCGTTTTCCTTTGGAGTCCTCGATCCTCGCTGAGACTGGCATGCCTCAACGTACGTACTTTGCTACAGATTGCTTAACAGGCAGCACTCGCCCGAACACTCGAGACCATCTCGGTCGATATTTGCTGTTTATCGGAAAACCGCCTGCAGGAATGAAGCTCCGCGCTTACTTTGCAACCCCCACTTGCGACACTGACGGCACATTCTCATTGCGCTTGTCTGGAAATGACGCAGCTTCAAATTCTGGTGAAGCTGGCGTTGGTATTGCTTTGAGTCCCCGGGCTGAAGCTGCCGTGATCCACTGGATCCCTGTCAACAGCCGGTTGGCTGGCTCGTTCCAGGCTTCGATGTCTCGCGGGGACTAACGGTGCCTGATTGTTATTACGGCTTACACCCCCACAAACTGTAGCCCTGATTCGGTAAAAGATGATTTCTATCACCAGCTTAACGATGTTCTTCATTACAGAAGAAGCACGGACACTGTGGTGCTTGCTGGTGATCAAAACGCCCAAGTCAGAAAATTGTCTTCTGATGACCTTCTGGTGCAGGCTCCCGTAGTGATAACGGTGAGTGGTTGATACACTTGTGTGAAGGCGCTCGTCTCTTTTTCGCGAGCACTAACTTTCGACATAGCACCCACAGAAGAGCGACTTGGCGCCCACAGCCTCGGGCCAGCCATGGACGCAAATCGATAATTTGCAGCTACACACGAAATATGATTTACTAACTGTGCTCTACCCACTTGACCGACTGTGGGGAGGAAAACCACGTGTTCACAGCCCGGTACAAATTTAACACCATGAGGCAACAACCGAGTTAAACTGTAAATGAATTTATTTCTCGACACCTTACTGCCCTTCGTGATTGCGCCTATGACCAGATCAGGTCAACTCATTTCGAGGAAGCAATGCTTCTACAAGCATTGGTCGTTGGTGGACTTGACGACAAAGCACACGAGCGTCTTTTGTCAGAAGACGAAAAGACCCTTACTTGGGAAAAAGCTAGTTCGACAACGTGCTGTTCAGAAACTAACGGCATTCTCCTCTTCCGATGAGATAATTTCACAGGAGGTAAACGAAGTCTCTCAAACAAAGCGTGATCATACATTGTCTCAAGCTGTACAGCGCAGAGAAATCCGTTGTTATCGCTGTGGCGAGCAGCATTATGATCCGGCTGATTGCCAGCATCTTCAAGTTCTGTGGGAAAATAAGACATATCCAGAACGTTTGTTTTTCCAAAATTTCGTTGTGCGGGGAAGTCCAAATCTGCGAAGCACACTACTGAGGATTTAAACCAAAACTGAATAAACACAACAGTTTTTAAACACAACAGTTTTTAAACACAACATAACAGCGAAGAAACCGTTCGTTGTGTCTATCAAGGTAAACGAACCTGCTGATTGCGAAATTGATACAGGTTCCACAGTTACGCTGATATGACCCGATGACCTGTCGAACTATCAAAACTAGATCCCCCTACAATACAACTAGGATCATACACCGGAGAGGTGGTGAATGTGTTGGGTATCTCTGTTGCACGTATCTCCTACCGCCATTTGACGGATCAAATCCATGTGTACGTTTCTGGGGGAACAGGTCCAAACATACTTGGTCGCGATGGCATTAAACGACTTCCGGGTATCATGTCAAACGTCAACACGGTTGAAGCTTGTCGACAACTATCTGGGATTCCGCAAACATATGCACCTCTTTTTGATCAAACTAAGCCATATTTGCTGAAGAATTAGGCGGCCCGATTGATACTGAAACCACAAGCAAGACCAAGATTCTGGAAGGCGCGCACCGTACCTTACGCTCTTCGGGACAAGGTCGAGACTGAGCTGCGCCGACTGCTAGGAAAGGATACAATTGAACCCGTCCAGTATTCCGATTGGGCTGTCCCTATAGTGCCTGTATTGAAAAACGATGGTACTGTAAGGCTCTGTGGGGACTACAGTTAAAATCAACCAAGAACTACCGTCAGATCGATACCCACTGCCTAAAATTGAAGTTACTTACGCCTCTCTCTCTTGTGACGAACTTTTTAGCAAACTAGATTTGAGCCACACCTACCAGCAGATGGAACTTGACGAGGATTCATGTGCTTTTATCACCATCAACACACACCTTGAGTTATTTCGCTATACACGCATGCCGTTTGGAATAAGTTCTGCACTGTCCATATTTCAACGAATTATCGACTCACTAGGAAAAGACATACCAAATACATGTGTCTATCTGGATGACATTCTAATTGCTGAGCGCACATCTGCTGAACATCTGCATACCCTGGATGTAGTTCTAAAAAGGCTATTAGACTCCGGGCTGATACTGAAGAAATTGTGAATTTCTTGTACCGAGTGTGCAATACCTGGGGTACAAAGTCTCGCGCGAACGGTTGTGTCCGCTGGAAAAGAAAACCAGGGCACGCCTTAAAGCCCCAACACAAAAATTTAAACGAACTATGCTCCTTCCTAGGAGCAGTCAGTCAGTTCTCCAGGTTTATACCAGCAGCATCAACTCACTCACATTCGCTTCATCAACTTTTGCGCAAGAATCAGCCGTGCAAATGGAACGCTGCTCACGATAATGCTTTCAACGCAGTAAAGTAACTTTTGGCGTCAGCTGAGGTCCTTGTACATTACGATCCATGGAAAACTATTGTTCTCACTTGTGATGCTTCTCCTTACGGCCTTGGGGCCGGGCACACAGAACACCGCCGCTAACGTTCTCAGTCAACTCCCCTTACCGGAGGTCCCTTCAGAAGACTTTACTCCGAAAGAACTTGTGAATCTGATTCAGCTCTTTAACAAAGCTACGATCAGGTCCACAGATATACGTCACGAGACAGATAGAGATCCGTTAGTAGGGCTTGTAACGCGGTACGTTCAAGTTGGATGGCCCGACAACACACATGCAGGACGTACACCTTTTCGCCATAGAATGACTGAGCCGAGCCTCCAGAATGGATGTTTGCTGTGGGGTGCACGGGTTCTGATCCCTAAAAGATTGCGATCAGCCTTCCTGAACGAGCTTCACGATGCACACCTACGAGTTGCTTTGATGAAGGCACTGGCCCCTTCCTATATATGGTGGCCCGGATTGGATGGTGACATTGCGGCGAAAGTTGGATGTTGCATGCTTGACCAAGAATCTCGAAACGATGTCCCCCACATTCTGATGCAGCCCTGGACATGGCCAGAGACGCCCTAGAAACGTGTGCATGTGGACTTCTTCGGTCCATTCGAAAGTCAAAAGACTGCTTGTAGTTGATGCGCACATCTTCAGCTAGCACAATAATCAATCTACGCACTACGTTCGCTACTTTTGGACATCCCGAAACACTTGTATCTGACAACGGATCTGTGTTCACCAGCACCGAGTTTTTCCCCTTCCTCACCTCAAATGGAATTAGACATGTGACTACCGCCTCTTATCATCCGTTTTCGAACGGTTTGGCTGAAAGGGGTGTACAAACAGTGAAAAATATGCTGCTCAAACAAACAGGTGCGCCATTGGGTGTGCGTCTAGATCGCGCTCCTTTTGCCTACCGAAATATGGTGAACGACACTACCGGAAGAAGTACTGCGGAGCATATGTTCGGGCGCCGTCTGCGTACTCGATTGGACGGAACTCTGGCAGCTAAAGTTGGCGAAAAACAAGAACGTGTGAAGGAACGCTTTGATACTCGCAACAGAAACGGGTTTGTAACAGAATAAGATCCAATCTACATACGCTTGCCTACAGACGATGGATAGCAACAAGCCGTTGTCAAAACGCCTAACGGGCAGATTATAGAGTCAGAGACCAAAGACGGCAAAATCGTGCGGCGTCAAATGGATCAAGTTCGGCCAAGACCGTCAACATCCGATTCAACCTGTGAACCAAATTCTCCACCCGCAGTACTGGACGACATGCGAGCGAACAACTCACAACTTGAATCCGAAGCGCCACTGTGCAGATCAACCCGCGACCGCCGACCGGTTGAGCGTGTCCAAGCTGCATAGTTGTAACTACAGGGGAAGTGATGCACCCTCAGCCAGTGTTCCGTGTCCCCTCTACTGACTGCGAATGTACGTGTGCGTGTGTTTCATCCTTCTTCTCATTGCGCTCATTGGCCAAGTCCCTCCCTGTCTGATCGAACACTGGACTCAGCACTCACGTTACTTGCTTGCAGTTTGCTTCTATACGTTTCCTGTATGCACCGTTGCTTACGATATACTTTTATTGCCTCGTCATTGTTCTGATTCATCTGAGTATAACTGGTTCCCAACCAAAGCCTTTGGTTCAAAAACCCCACCACAAGGCAGCGGTGTTTTGGCACTGGACTGCAGAGAGCCCGTTATATGGAGTGAGCCACCCTCACTCCAACCCCAAACTAGAGGGCTAAGAGACTGAGTTTGTCTGGACTCTAACGATTGACCAATCTGGTATGAATGGCTCTGAAGGCGCAAAAAGCACCACCCAGCATAGCTCAATGGATCACTGAGGCACATAAACCATCGAACCACGTTAAGGTCCAGTCTCATCACGATGGGATTCCCTGAGTACCTGGTAGAAATAAATATTTCAAGAAAATTGTACCATCATACCTCAAGCGAACTGGGGAATCATCGAACTGCCGAGTGATTCAGATGTCTGCCTTGCAATCTACAGGTCAATCATCTGAGCCGTCAGCAATCCTGGCCTGAATCGATTGATGGTGGTCGCGTGGCAGTGAAGTATCAGTTGATTATTAGTATTACTACTCAAGGAAGTACCGAATCGCGAATTTTACGTCAGCAGAGTTCCTGTAGCATTCTGAACAATACGACGTAAAGACGGTGGCATCAACTTTCAGTGCTTCTTCCCCCACAGTCTTGTTCAAATCAGTGTTGTCGCTCTTTAGTTGACACAACTGGAAGTAGTTTGTGCAGTCGAAATTGGATCTGCAGTTAGATGCAACGGAAATTATTTGAAGGGAACTATTGCAATCTCTGCAAGGTAGGAAAGAGCCCTTCCAAGTGCCGAATATACATGAGGCTGGGTAATGGTCAAAAATCTGTTAGCCATGAACACTAGGGCCAGTTCCATAACACAAAATTATATCGCTATCCTGATGGAGCAGCTCCATTTTGTCTACTCTATACCATCTAACTAAGATCATTGAATGCACGCACTGTTCGCTCGCTACACTCTATCTAATCCACATCTGTTCTTTCTGAAGTCACACTGAGCTTTGTTCATGCTAAGTGATACCAACTCCAGCTTCTCCATTCGGCCGACGCAGTTGCGGCCAGCTCGTGCGGGCGGTGCTTGATTAGCTCCCAGTCCGTTAGCTCCCGTTGGTTTCGTTGGTCCAGTTGAGAAGCTCCCTGGGTGGTTGGCGCGCGTGTGCCGCCAGGGCGACGCTTTTCAGACCAATTTCCCTCTCCGTTGAATGAAATCACACTGCAATGCCGAAACCGAACCAATTACACGTTGTCCATACAGCCCACGCAATTGTAGTTAGGTAGGGCTGGCTCTCTGTCCACCGGTCCTGCACAGAGTCCTTGCGCACAAACTTCCAGTTAGTAGGCGCCAAATTAGATAGGGAGGTCCACGCACCCCGGATGGGTGAGAAGTTAGTTCTTAAACGTATGCAACAACAAGTTGTCACTAAGCATCAATTGTATCATTGTATCACAATGACTGAGGTGTTTTTTATTTCCAGCTAACGTACAGAATGGTGAAGTTGAATTTCGCAGACATTATTATTTTGCAGCCGCATTGAACTCGGTAAATAGGGAGTAAGGGAGGGAGCACAGTCACGCGTGTGGACAGACGGAAGTGGAATTTAAGCACAGTGGTAGAAAGAACAACAAGGATTGGACAATACTTTGGACAAGTTTCTCACGTGAACTAACGTGACAACGAGTGATCGTGAGAATCCTTGCCAAACGACTACAGACCGAAACTGATTTCCGAATAAAGTTCACTTGGCACTCCATGCAAATCAGCCGGAGCCTCAAGACTATGTCCGATACTTGGAAGACCAGTTGGCCAAACAGATTCAAACGTCGGCATTCGGCTCGTCCATCATAGTACTGTTTGTGTGTACGGATGATGAACAAGCAACCTAAGAGCAGCGTAACTTGTTGAAGAAAGGAGAGTAAGTGACATGATGGCGTGTATTAGGAAGGTAACAGGATCACAGTAAATGGTTCAAATCGAACGAAAACTATGGAATTGAGGTAATTATCTGCACCTTAACGGCATGGTGAACGGGCTGGTTTCACTGAACTTGCTATAAAATGGCCACCGACTCGTGAGATGCGATCTAGAAAGTGAGCATAGTGATAGAAAAAATGTGGTAGGCTCATAAATGGAGCAATTGATCGCCATTAACAGTACAACAGACTTCAGGATTTATGTGGAGAGTCCAGGTCCCGATAAACAGTTTCCTTTAATCAGAATCGATCGATACACCCTGGCGCGGCCACATAGATGGGAGAGGTCAGAGGCGTAGTTCCATCTGAACAAGGTGGTAGGGGGTGGCAAGTTTGCAATTCTGTTGACTCACAGCGATTTGTCCCACTACTAGGGTTAGTGCAGTGAGAACTACTGCCAAGTAAAATTTCACGTGAGAAAGTGAACACTTTAACAAATCTAAGAAACTGTTGGATGAGATCTTCGGGTACAGATATGCTGTGGGTCTTAAGACTAAGCTCCACTGACAGATAGCATTTTTCACTCAACACACAAGGGTCGCCTGATAGTTTCTTTACGTTTTTTAAACAATAATCCCTTGTTTTAACTTTAATCAGATTGGAATATGACCACATTCGAGGGAGCTGTGAATTCGTCCATTCCATCGGATCAAGCAAAACTTGTACTTCCGCTGGTGATGCGCTATTTGTGCCCAACCTGGGTCTCGTTTGTTGGCTTGGGTGCCGTCTCCGCCGCGGTTATGTCATCAGCCGATTCGTCTGTCCTGTCTGCAGCCTCAATGTTTGCAAGGAACGTGGTCAAGTCCGTGTTTTGGCAAACTGCGTCCGAGCATCAGATCATTTGGGTGATGAGAGTCAGCATATTCGCGGTGGGAGCGTTCGCCTGTCTCCTCGCCATTTACATCCAATCGATTTACGGCCTATGGTACTTTTGCTCCGACTTGGTGTATGTGATATTGTTTCCCCAATTAATCTGTGTGTTATATGTCCGCTTCTCAAATACCTACGGCTCACTAATAGGTTATGTAGTAGGACTGTTTGTCCGACTCACAGCCGGAGAAGCATTACTAGGCTTGCCAGCTCTGTTTGAGTATCCATACTTCTATGACCATCCTACCGAGTTTTACCAGCGCTTCCCGTGCAAAACATTTGCAATGATTTGCAGTCTCACGTTTACTATTTCGGTCTCCTTCGTCACTGACTTCTTCTTCCGTGCGGATTCCAAACACCTGAAGTACGACATCTTCCACTGTTACAAACAACGGCAAACCGAAACGGGGTCAATGCGAATTGGAAATCGATTCAACCGGAAGTCCATCAGAATACCCGCGAATCCGATATGCGTTGAGGGCGCGTCAGACGTCGGAGAAGCGTCCGTCGATGAGGAGGACAAGACAGCAACTGTTCGAGTAATTGATAGACTCGACGCAACCGGTTTAACTGGATCGGAAATTGAAGATGATGTGAGCACAGCCAGCGTGAACAAACTGACTAACCCAGCTGAGAAAAAGTACCACCAAGCGTAGGGAATCTAGAGTTCGCCGGCGTACATAGCGTGAGAACAGTTGCAATCCTTTTGCGGGAGGGGGCAAAAAGCGCCCGGTCGGTTTTGTTGCATTCTATCATACTTGGTAAACTTGAATACACATGTGCAAGCGCAGAATTTTTATAGAAAATTGGTTGTGAGCACCACTTAGGTGTCGCAAAATCAGCACTGTGAATTGAACTGTTTCAGTTCATATCAACAAAGGTTGTGAGTTTTACAATCAGCTGAATTATTTACTATTCCACTATAATATTGCTGTTCTATTTTGTTCATTTATCCAATTATTTTCCATACGCTTCGGTAAACCGAAAGTGTAGTAGCAAACCCGCAAGTACAATTCGGAACATAATCGCTTTCCATGAACGAACATAGTTTTATCCATACACGCAAACTTGCCCATGATGAAATACAAATCTTACAACGTTATACACACTCCATTTCAATGCATTAAAAACATTCTAGATGAATCTAATCAGTGTTCGTTTTCAATAAGTGCTGGGGCGGGAGGCATGGAAGCTAGAATTGGTGATATGCTCACTTAGGCTACAGAGGAACTGAGTCAAAAAATAACACGAATCACAACCCACCGCAAGGGCCAGATCATTGTGGTGCCAATTGCCATTCAACAGTACCACATGGGGACGGGAGACCAGACAATTGAAAAATCGGAAATAATAACACACGTAACGAGGCTGAAATAAGTGAATGTGGAAATTTTCACACGGTAGACGATTGGCATCAGCGGCATGTTGGAACATCCAAAACCACACAATTCCCATTTGTGTAAAACAGTAGCCTTGCGACTTGTTAGTTGTTCAAGTAGTTGCGTAGTTGCAGAGACTAGTATGAGCGCACTCTACATTGCTGACAGTAGTGCATTAAACGTCATTCCTGAAACTCAATGATTCCAGTTGGGCACAGTATGGAAGTAACGGTTAAGTTGCCATGATTGGCTGTCGAAAGTGATAAAGAAAAAAAGTAGTGAGGCAGCAATTGGTTGATCTTATGAAAAACACTTGTAGAAAACAAGCAAAGCCAATCCTGAACAATGGCTGTTCATTTTAAATACGAGAAATCAGGTTGGGTTTGTGAATACGCAGAAGCAGGTGCCGTAGAAAGAGGAGGTGGATGGTACAAAGGTGTTGGTGATGACATCTTGTTCACAGGCAGGCATCCAATCGAGATGCATGAGTCCGGATTTTCCCAAAAATCTTGTTGGGTGGTGCACCAAGAATTAGATCACAAATGGCACGCCGTGCAACGGCGATACGTTCATTGCTCCCAAGAATATGGATTGTTTCGTTGGCAACGACAATCCGAGTCCGAGTGGCGTTTTCCACGCACATCCGAATGCGACCTTTGGCACCGCAAATACGCCCGACAGCCCTAGCCATATGATCACCCTATTAGCGGAAAACGGAAGGTTTAAGGTGAAGAAATCAAGGATGCATATGAGATGCAGCATGCTTCAAAAAGCAGGCGACCACGCGTTCTAACGTGGGTATTAATAGACAAAAATGCACATCACAAAAGTAGACCCCAATGATAAGTCGCACTCAACTGTGTAGCCCGTGACTAGCTCACATATAGCCTCAACAACGATGAAGCGTAAGTTGATGTGGCCGTCTGAGTACCATTCCAACCCGCAGAGTCATGTTACTTCTAGGTGCTCCGCGTACTGAAGTTACCCGACTGACCAACGGCTGGAAATCAGACGAACTCAGGTACTAGTTTACAAGTTGGGGACTGGAATTGAGAGCTGTTTATGTGAAAAGGACTTGTCCTGTGGACCAGCACAAAATACCTGCTGTATTGTAGCTAGGATTTAGAGCCAATCTCAGCTGAGGGCTCCAATCATTCCGTCGTACTATGGTAGTATCTCATGACTATTAGATCTAAATTCAAAGCGATCGTCACCGAGCATTGGGAAATTGGGAAAAGATGGACTTATCTGACGATTTCGGTGCACTAATGTGAGGAAGTGCAGCTTTGATCGGTTTGTCAATTTTGACCAGTGTACTGATGTCTAACTAAAGAACTCATGAGAGGATTCAGAGGTGCTTCACGAAGCACCTGGTGAGTATTGGTGTCGTCCTCGCCCATCACCGTTCGTGATGTCAGAGCAACACCGAAGTCCAAGATTTCGGATGCAGCCCCAGTGATCAGAATAACGGAGATTTACCTCAAAGTAAACTACAAACTCAATTGAGATTGCGTCTCGTAATCCAGACACATAGTGGATAATCCAAAAACCTACAATCATCTAGTGAGGTGTACCATTGGTTTGACTTATCGTGAACGATGTCAAGAACTCGGTCTTGATCTTTCATGGTCACGGGGGCTGATACGGGAGATCCTTGCTATCGATTTCATGTTACTAACAATACTGACGGTGACGGCACGTAAATAGATTCCAACAAGTTAGCCGAGCTCATTCAAACAAATAGTAACCTTGGTCAGTCATCCTCATTCCTCCACAGGGCTCATATTCGACGCGCGCTTGCTTAGAAACAAAGTGTATACTATTCGCCCTATGACAGTACTTAGAAAGCGAAATTTCGTTATAGTAACCAAAATGAGGCTCACTGATGATACCACACAGATAAGCTTTTATGTTGACAAGGAGAACCGCTTGTAAGTGTAGGCCTGGGTATGACAGCGAAGGTTCTCAAATACTTCCAAGCTTCGTTGCTTGGCACTCCGTTTTCAGAATGTAATATTTTCAGAAACAGCACTGAAATAACTGAGGGTTCGTCGCAATCAGTTCCAAATCAGATACTCGTTCACATGCCCGGAAAAAAACACTAGACTGCAGTTTCAGCCCGTTGGGCATCATCAGTAGTGCGCATCCATCGGACTGGCGGCTTGCACCGCCAGTCAACAGCTTATGTTGCTAGCGGCCTGGCGGTATGGATGGATCCGATGGATGTGCACAACTGACGATGCCCAACAGGCTGAAACTGCAGTCTAGTGCTTTTCCGGGCACGTGGACGACTATCTGATTTTGAAGTGATTGCGACGAACCTTCAATTAGATCAAAATCCCCTACTCATGAGTACAAGACTCGGAGACTCGTAAGTTGCATCCAAAGAACACCGAACCCCGGTGACTTGTTTTATCACATAGAACAGTCCACCAACATTTAAATAGTTGGATGGGATTACAATAGGCCTGATGTTCAGTGTGGATATCATAATGCAACTACAAAATGGTGAAACCGTTATCCTCTTTAAAGTCCCTTGGATAGACTGCAGCCATCATTAACTTCCCAGACAGTGACTAGAAAATGTTCCCACTTTCGCATAGCTGGCCGTGCCCATATTTCTACGACTAACTGAAATATTAGATCGGCATCCTAAGACGCAAAAATTAAGTCATCTGCTGTCCTTCTGAGATCTACACAGTGAGACAGTTTTGTAACGGAAGAGGAGTTCCATTTAAACAACACAGAGCATGGCTTAAACACTCTCGTTCCTCTAAAGCGTCAAAATAAGCACTAAAAATCAGCAGCAGGGGCCATCCTTTCCAAAGTTACTCAAAAGCTGGTTAAGCTTCATGAACAGTGTTTGTAGGGTGGCAGCAGAAAATCACTGCCGGCTTCGAATTGATCCGTCGATAAGTGAAAGCCGATATAATACACATGCTCAAAAACCAAAATAAGTGCCAGGAAGTGACCAAGTTGATCAAGCGTAGAAACAAAGCCCCGTGACTCGCACCATTGTAAAATCCACAAACCGCTTGGCAAGCGATCTTGCTTACACCAGTGAGGTATCCAACCGCCATTTTTGCGCTTCCTTCAACGACACTAATGAACTATTCCCTCCCTATTGAAGACAAACTTTGTCGACTTCGACGGCCGCGACAAAATAAATCTTATTTCTTCTATCAAATCGTCCTGCCATGATGGAGCCGATAATTTATCATCCGTCCCGAAAAACTGAGAAGTGGTAATATCCCAACAGTGCTTCTGCATCTTCTCATATTATCAATGTAAACTGCCATCGCACCGTCTCGTGGTCATTCCTTGATGCAAATCTGCATAAGCGTATGAGATGAGAAATAACCGTCAAATTAGTCATAATTAAATTCTGTCTAAGATGATGGAGGCACACCGAGTCTAAAACAAGTGACTTGTAACTACACGAAATCTTGTAAACAGATCGCAACATGGTCCCCTAGGCTCTCATTCCTGCATAACACGTCCGTTGACCATTCGTAAACATCTAGTTAGTTCGTCTGATTGTGGGTTATTAGTAGCAACTATCTCTTTAGATATGCAAAGCGTCATCGAGTGCCATACGATCAAAGTATACCTAAAGTAATATAACGTTGGAAATCGGTGACCAATGACTGTCGCGGCTTTATTCTAAACTCACCAACCGAATGTAGATGGTACAAATGCGACATTACGCTGAAAACAAAAGCAGCCACAGGTGGGGTGATATAGGGGCAGTGTTCCAAACCAGCTACTGTTCTTGTTGTGTATCAAGGACATCTTAAATGCATTTCTTCACGGAAAATCCTTTCTGTATGCCGACGACTTCAACGTTACTTACACTTTGAGTCTATCCACGCCAGTGGCATGATCCGTAATATACAAAGTGACTTCTGTGCACTCGGATCGTGGGTTTCGAATTGGAAGATGGAGTTCTCTGTTGACAATTGCCATATGGTATGCAATAGATGTAAAGTTGATCCTGAACCGTTAATCACTAATGGTGGGGCCTTTAAAGCGGCCGTTGGCTTTTCATTGGAACATTGTTTTTACCTTACCTGCCACGGATGCAAGAGTTTTCACCGGATATTAATGACATTTTCTTCCGTTACATTATTTCAAGTCACTAGCGTTGCATTGCGATGGTTTTTTGACAAAGAACTGAGATACTGTGCACAAAGTTATCAGCAAGCGTTTTTGTAACGAAGCTATAACAGAAAGCAAATGCCAGTGAATTACTCTATCAAAGGAAATTATTACCTGCATATACGTATTCGGGTGACACCTATGCATCCCATGCCATTTGCATTGTTAACGTTACTATTTTAGTCCATCCGCGGTAATTATTGTCAAATGCTGAAAATACACCCACTTGGGTACATAAAGTCTATGTTGACTTGACTTGATTATCCCAATGGCATAGCACTTACATTTGGGGGCATTACTGCTAGGAGTTTAGGAACTTCGCAGAACATGCTGAAAATGCCATAGTTAAAGCCATAATGAGCATCAGATGTTTAGTTAGAACCTTCGCTCCGTAAGATTTGATAAACTTTACGTGCAAACTTCTTATACGCACACTGATGGATTAGGACTTAATGGTATACTGCAATTCGAGGATTGGCCGAATCTTCTCAGTACAAGTGAAGCGGTCTTTCATTAGAGTACTAGGGTTCTCGTTCACAGTCGTATATGAACCAATGTCATGCACTTCAGTTGGATCAGAGCTGGCTGTACCGGACGTAAATGAGCATCTCCTTCTGTTTGGATACTATCAAACAGCATGTTCTTCTAAGCTAGTTATGCGGCTGAAAGATTCAGCAAAGACCAACACTAGAGAAAGCAGAAAGCTGGGGTTGGTGACACCCTAGAACAAAGATGTATGAAAAGCTTTTTCGGTCACCAGGGTGAATTGTAGAATGGACTTGGAAGTGAGACACATGAAATTGCATTATGGGATATCTGTGATACGCGAATAAGTTACCTCACGAAATTCGAACAGATTAAGTGCCCACCAGAAAAGTCCGCTGCAAAAAGCAGAAACAGCGCAAATTCAGGCTTATAGTCGGTGAAGATCCAACCACCACATCTCACTCTCTACCTTAGCCTCCCATGCATATTACGCCGTAAAGATTTGTCTACTACTTATAATTTTTGTCCTCTCCCAATAGGTTTCGGCGTAAAAATCCTCGGCGACTATCTGTCACAGTTCCCGCTTAACTATCGCGTGCAGATTACACCCTTATGCTACACCACGCCTCAATGTCCAACCACCTGCATCGCAACCTGTTTTCCCATTGCACTACCTTTCGCTTGCAGTGCCTAGGCCTGGGGTGTAGAAGCTATCTTTTCCAACCGGGGAGGTGGTAAAATCTGCACCTCTCTCTGGCAGTTGCAAATCCGTAAAGCCATAAAAATCAATTTAGTGTAAAGTGCACATTAGTGTTCGATGAAACGGATGATCGTCTGGGACACAGTTCATGTTATAACGCTGTACCCGCGATAGACCGGTTGGTTCACGCCTGTTAGCAAATCTGCGCTCTTACGCCTGCTCTGCTTGACGCTTTGGCCAACCCGACAGGAAGGAAAACAGAAGAAGACTAAGACCAACCAGAGGTGTATTAGAACCGAGAACGCTCATATGTATAGGTCGATCTCACCAATCCTCTAAACACCGCCTGGCGGATTTGGCTACCTGTCTTCCTCGTACGCCCACGCTCCACACCTGACTGTGCGCTCCATCTGGCCAGTTCACCGGCTTGCTCGGGCATGACAGTCTTCATCCGCCTACCAGGGGCATGGCAACATACATGATGTCTGATGCGCGATTTCATTAGCTTTCGGCTGGGACGTGGCAACACGTTTGTAGGGTCTGTCCCAAGCATGCTTTGTGGAGAAAACGCGGGCGTTGGCAATTAGCTATCTCGCCCACCTATCCAGTAAATGTGGTGAAAGTGACCACAATGAGACAATTAATGGGATCGTTGGGAAGAAGGTTTGCACAGGTGTGACACATGGCGCAGTGCTGTTGGCCATACAGAGCAACATTGAAATATTTAACCCTCAGCTTAATCTGGAAAATGTGCCCCTTATATTTGGTATCGAAAAGTCAACGGTACTAAAGATGTCTCCCTCTGTCACATGCCGCCCGGGACAAGCCGTCTTCCACCCATTTGCAACGCCTCTGTCTTATGTGCATCCAAGGCAACGGTTACAAAAGATTCTTACATCACGTTTCTTCACTACTCTATACAACCAAGACCAATGGCCTCTCTTGTCTCCCCTAAGTGCATGTTTTCGATGCATTTCTCAATCATAACAAGGCAAAACGTCTCCATCCGAGAAGTGTGCTTTCTCACTTCTCAAATAACTTCAGTTGAGTCACACGATCATTTATCGCAAGTTAGGAGTGTAACACATTGTGACAATATCTGGTCCTTGTAAGAAGTAAACACAACCTCTCATCGTTTCGATACACATCATCAAAAAGAAAGGTTTGTTCAATTTTAACATTCCCGCCTTGCAGTGGATGACACCGAGAACATTCATCACGGTGCAAACCAAGAATGAATGTGGAAGGCGACGGTCAAATGTTCCTCATCTAGGAAAACTTACTAATGGCAAAAAGTACAGCACTCTGTCGTGGATATTCATATTCCTACACTCTAAACTTATAGGTCTCATAAAAATAACCGCTTCTAGTTTTACGAAGAAATGTGCATTATTAGTATTATCATAACGGAGGGAACTAATGTAAAAACAATGAAGTTAAGATTCGTGTAATCAAAAGTATGTAACAAACTGTCAAAAAACGATAGATTAAATCACCCGAGATGTTCAAAATACAGAAACGCTTTACGTGGTACATCATTGAAGACATGCTTAAAACAACAGCGGGAGCGCAGCAAGTAATGTAGACTAGAAAGAGGGAGAAGAAAAACCCAATCATCCCTACTTCTGGCCTCTGTTATCTTCTCGCCTCAGTCACGCCAGTTTCGAGGCTGAAGAGAAAAAGTAAACCGAATCCTTATCTTCACTCCTTCGGACACCGTTATATTTTCAACTAATTCAACCTTGTCTTACTTAAAACATCAAAATTCGTTGATACTGCAGTTCTCGATTGCGCATGTGCACAGCACATTGTCGCAGGGGCTTGGACATCAGGCGTAATAGGAGCCGAAGGCCTTTTACAGTGTCAATGAAAGATGTATAGAAGCCTCTGTAGACAAAGCAAGAATTCGATGCAGCCGACAGTTGTTAAAAATTGGGAAGATTTTCAGCAAAAAGATCGTTAGTTAGCATCCTAGTCACAGAGAACTTGGAAATGTGATTCTGACAAAGACACATCGAAATGAACAACCTCTAGGTGACACTTCCCGACCACGCATATTGCAAGTTTCTTTCGAAACCGACATTTCAAAGTGTACGAACACGTCTATTTTTTCGTCCCGCTTTGTTGACACCAGGTGCCATTTTGCTTTGCTGTTATGAATAGTCATTCACTTGCAAGACAAGTATCGTGTGTTGCCGAATATAAGCTCGTCCATAGATAGGCCGACAGTGTAATTTGGTAATACCAAGTTTGACCAAAGTCGCAAATCCCCATATTAACCGACCTCCAAAAAACCTACCGGTAAGTGCTTTCTGTCATGTCTTTCCCCATGTTAATGAGTGTGATGGTGTTTGATTCAGTATATTTCCGCGTGTCTCTGTTACTACCATCCGTTGCGAAAGCCAAATACGGAATATACTGAGAATTTTCGCCACAAAATAACGTGTATGGTTATATGCACGCCACATTCAGTGCTGCGTGGACACCGTAGGAAAAAAGGAGGCACTTCAAATCTCGGTGGCTAGCGGGTGGTGTTAAAGGGAGATCTGGGCAGGGATGTGAAATAAATTCCTGGGTGGATATTGCATGTGACTATTTTCCAACCGCGTAAAACTATATAAGCCAACCTTCCTCCATAGAAATGAAAAATGGTCTAAAAATCATCGGCTTATATTCGGTACTTTAAAATAAACCCTCAACCAGTACACCGGCACTTCATACTCATTAATAGGCGAGATGTGTGTCAGCTGTACGCCGTAACGGCGCTTCGCTGCCAGCGCGACCACCACCAGACGCGCGCGGGCTGAGTATACCGCGAGGACGCCCACCCCACATGCACCTAGCTGACACACCGTCGCGAATTATATCACTGACTATGACGGCGACATGCGATTCGCCCGCTATTCAGTGAGGAAATATCTATCCTCCAAGTCAGTTGGCGCAACCAGATTAATGCGCTGAAGAAGACTCCAGCAAAATGCATGAAAAGCGACGGTGTAAAGACTCTAAATAAGCCGGTCATCTTCTAACCCGTCCCAGATGAACAAGAAACGGTTAAGAAGTACGAAGCCTGGGAGTGCCTTGCCCACCAAGCCAGAGTATGAGAACTAGATATTGGTAGTGCAAGCAAGCTCCAAGTAACTGTTTTCAACTCCCTCGATTCTTGAGCTCTCCGAACCTATCAGATTTCCTTGTTAGCTCAAGAGGTACGGCTTTACTTCGTGTCTGACGACCACTCTGATCACACTGTACTAGGTCCTAACATTGGCATCTCGAATATCAGCATAAAAATGCTGAAACATGATGGTTTTAAGAGCATAAGCTTCCACAGCATATCAGGTGAAATCCCAAACCACTAAAATTCCATGTCCCCAAAACCATTATACGAAAATTCCGTGTGCAAGACAAACTGGTGGGCCTTCCTGGCCATGTGTTGAAGAATTTCTCTCTTAGCAACAGAAGAAATCGATTGCTGTAATTCCTGGTGAAGTTTATGGAAACTTAGTCGCGAAAGCAGATAGGATAAGAGTAGATGAATACATTCCAAAACGTGAAGTATTCAATAGTGGAAAAATTCCACCTGAAGCACTTAGCGATGTGGCTAAGTTGGTTCCGGCTGTAGCGAATTGGCACACTAACACTTACTTCGCAGAAATGAGTACCACCCAAGTCTAAAACTTCAAACTGGAGGGATAGGAGTAAAGCCAAGCTCAAACCACTGACCCATTTGGCAAAAGTTCCTCATAATGTGCCACACGATACTACTTTAAGGTTGTAGCTTGTCGCGATGGAGCTTAACAGAACCTTCGCCGATGGATTCAAGCTTAGCTCAGTACCTTAGATAGGAGCTGCTTTGAATGAGCAGTATATTCCTCGGTGAGGTTAAGAACGGGAAAAGACGGTATAAGAACGCATACAGAAGTGAGTATAACTATTCGACTGAAGATGAATGGTGTGTGCAAATACGTCGTCATTGGGTGAGTAACAACCCCTGACGTCCAGCACATGAGCAAACATACCTTTAGAGTCTGTTTGACGTCCATAATGTGGAAGCTCTCTACGTAAATACCATCAATACGGACAACGGCCAACGCATCTTCGTACTTGAAACCTCTCAGGAATGCACTGACAAAATCGTAGCCTTTCTGGAGATGTAAAGGATCCTTCGTCTCAGATGAAGGCTTCATGAAAATTTTCCAAGCCCTCCCTTGAGTGCTCAGACACACCATTAATTTGAGCTGCTTTGTGAGAACCTAAGATGTAAAAGACATTTTATGGTTGTGGTAAAGCACAAACCACCTCAACCATGGCAGCCCACACCGTACGGATGGGAGTCCGCCGGCTGGTGGGAACAATTAACGTCCGGACCTCTGTCATAGGATCAATGGATTAAAACTGAAACGGAAGCAAGAATGACGTGTTTAAGTTGATGGATCATCAAACACACAGTGGTCATAGTTCGTTTGATTGCTAGCTCAAATGGTACTGATAAAAACTAGCAAAGTCAATCAGGAAACATGTTACCATCAACGAATGAAATGAGAACAAGGATAAAATTAGCAAAAGTTCAAAAGTGACACTTTAATCATCGAATAAACTCCAGGTGGTAATAGGACTCAAAGTAACGGTAGCAGTGACCAATCAAATTAGCCAAAGCAGATATTTCTACACACGTGAATGGACCGTGCGCAAAGATATGACCAAGTAATCTAAGACAGAGCTCGGATAAAATGTCAATCAGCACGTACTGGGAGCCCAGTATCCAACCACGAGCGACAGCCAGCGAGCTAACCGTCGAGATAAAGCTGAAGAGTAAAATGGGCCTAAAGTCGTTCGTATCAAACAATCCAAAAAGTAAGGAGCACTCAAGAACAAAGAAATTTCGCAAGTATTACACTGAAATGAATAAAAAGTTGTGGACGATTCGGCGCAGGTGCTTTACTGTGTGATGGGTTTTCGCTTGGTAAACGGCCACTCTACAGGAAGTCATATAATTCACATGAAGACATTGTGACTCATCTAAAAATAAAGTAATCACACTGTGATTGTTGAGCCTATAGGATAGCGGATCATCGTCCGAAAGGTGAATGAAGCGACTGACCAGCCACCAACAGGTGTGAGTCTCTTACCTCACCCTGTTGTCTTGTGCACCAGGCCTCCTGACCACAGACCGGGAGTAGTGATCTCTTAGTTTGACCTAGACAAACGGGTAGCATCTCGCCTAATCATGAGCCATGAAAATGAACTAGACTCTCGCTATACTGATGGTTTATGACCCTGCTACTACTGTTATTTTTCAAGCACACGCAGTGCAATTACCTACTCCCCCATATCATTGTATAATTCCTCAACGGTGAACAATACTACCAACTTGGATGCAATGTCGCCTTAACTGTCCTCCATTGCCCAACAGACAGTAACCATCTGCAAACTTTCCTCTCTTACCTTTTGCGATCCAGAGCATAGCTAAACTCAACAGCGTTCAGCGAATGAGATCTAAAGCAGACTGGACAACAAGCCGGTCTTGTACGACTCCTAAAATCTTTTGGAATCAACTCCCGCTGTCGAAAATGCGACTTCAATATGACAGCGCACTCTACTAATCATCGTCACTATTTAAAGTACACATTCGTTTCCATATTCGCTCAGTCTACTGAAACTAGCCAAACAAGCGTTGAGATCGCCTCTAGCGTTACAGTCGAAGCCAATCTCCCTGGATGGATCCCAGTCAACAGTCGCCTCTGCGCTAATAGGATACAGATTCTCTTGTGTCGAGATGACAAATGAGCTTTGTAAGTACTTTATAATCAATAAGTAAATAAATGATTTATTCCCGACAGTGTGAGACGCCTAAAACGACATGATCATAGTAATACAGACGCGGATGATCAATAATCGAACAAGAATATTGCAATCTAACCAGTACATACTGGATTTATGTTGTATGTATATATGTAATTGCCTGGGTGAGTAAACAGGTTGAGTGAATTTGTTAGTTATGCTAAAGTTGTGATTGTGTTCGGTGAATTCGCCAACATAGGAAGGGATCAAATAATATGTTCAAAGTGTCTGACATTCTTGAATGGAGTGAGATCCTCCGGAAAGGCGGAAAGCAGTGACTTTGTTTAGTGATGAGTCAAATAAGCCACATCACATTGTTGTTAAACAGACATTTGTAGCTTTTTATGGGGAGAATGATTGTCAGGTGAAAACCCATCACATTCTGAAACGCTGCCGCCGAACCATTTGATGGAATAGGATTAACCCGGACCACCCAGTGGGCACCATATGGAGATTGTTCGGCTAGCCAGCCAGTCAATGATCCCGCTGACTGCAACCCGGGAAACAGTGGAGGGCCAATACTATCAAAACCTTCATAACCTGCATCTAAGGACCACTTGAAAGAGTTACTATAGAGAGATTTCAACTCAAGTGTTCGTTCAGTGCTGCCAATCGAACGTCATCTTGAAGGACCGCACGGTTTTATTGGATAATCAGGAAGGATTGCTCATGTATGCCAACCACTAACGTTACTTCTCCAGCGCGAAGTTTCGTCACCCTTGGTGCTACTACGCTATCAAACGTCCATCGTCGCAGTGACCATATCGTCATAATTCGCCGGTGAGGTGATAGTATTTGGAACTGCAGATGCTATTGGCAAATTTGCGATTAATCGGATTATGCGCTGATACGTGTGATGGTTTGCGCATGTTTCGGTGGCTAGCATAGAGCTAAAGAAAATCCATCGAAAGTTGGTAAATTGAGGGATCAGGTCGTACAAACGGAGTACTGACAGGAGCTTCGGGGGAATTCCCCTTTCTCGTCTCTTAGGAATTGTGACCAGCATTGGTCATGTTTCAAGTAGGCTTGTCCAACTGGGGCCTTTTTGGTTGCATAGCTGAAGGTTGGATTACCAGGATACCATCGGGACTGCCTGACCGACGACCGGCTGTACCCATCAGTGTGGAGTACAGTGATCAGAATCAGTCGCGGAAATCGAAGCTTCTGTATCTGTTGGGAACATCTGAACATTGTATCTTCGTATTAAATCCGGGGGATATAGACCGCATCATAACATACAAGCAATCGGCCAATTAACCGATACAAAGAACACAGATCTCTGCAAACGTTCCTCGACTTGATTAACCAACACAAACCCCTGTAATACCACCTTGTTAGATAATGGTGCTTGTCTTGTGTGCATAAATCCTACTACTGAGGCAGGGAATCGGGGAGAAATCCAGGCGTTGAAATATCCCAAGGCTCCTGACCTCGACAGTCATCCTCCAACTCTATCCAGAGACAGAAGGGATGTAGTCGTCAACAAAGTCTCAATGCTCATCAAGTTATGAAATGATGAGGTGCCCAGATTATGGGTCGAACCAATCATTGTCCCGAAACAAGTGCACCAATTACCGAGTATTCTCGCTGATCTCAGCCGAGCCAAAGGTTTCTGTGTCCATCCCTCCCCCAAGCTTTCAACCACCCGAGAACAATTGCACTCCAAATATATACGATGAATGTTTTATCTGAGTTAACAGATGAATTGAAAAAAACAAGCCAGACAGCTAATGGGAGACAAACCTGATAGATTCGATCACTGGACATTGCGGACGTAGTTGTTCACCGACACGGCTGCGCCGACTGACTGTATGCTTGGTTAACCGGACCAAAAACGATGCTGTCTGTGGAAGTGTATAGGCGCTCAGCAGGTCAAAGGTGCTATACTTTTCATTGATTTACCCTTGCTGATTAAATTACTCATTTATAAAGGACTGGCTTTTGCGACATTAAGGAATAGTGTACGTAACAGGTTTGTCGTAATACTCGGGAAACTGTATAATCACGCATCGAGTAAAGCTGATACACGTAGCAGACTGTCGTCATCCTTTGTTGTTACCAGCGGAGTTGGGCACAATTCCCTGAACTCGAACGCCGCCTTGGGGTCAAGCTATTCAGCCAAAGGCTCGGGGTGGTGTCCCCTAAGACAACTCCCTACTTCGGCTTGGGCAACCAGGTATTATCACACCCACTGGCAAAAGCATGGATCGTTCATCTGATATATCGCGCTAAGCTACTTTGGCTTCCGCTACTCATACACCTTCACACGCCATCTATTCATTTGATACCAATCACTGTTATCCGTTATCAGCTGGTTCCTGTTTCCATGATTCTACTCCCGATGGTTTGGTCGACGCGCAACGAGCTCGCCCAGTGGCCCTCTTTCGGCCTCAATCCTCCATCCGTCTAGCGTGCTTCAACGCACGTACGCTCATGCAGATGGACAGCAGGCTGGTCGTGCGCGCACTTTGAAGTCCTTTGCCATCGATATTTGTTATCTTTCCGAAACACGTTTGAGCGACTGCAGTACCGTGTTTGAATTCAGATCTCCCACCGACCACGGAGTCATGTTTCACCTAAGTCTATCCGGTGACACAGAGGTAGCTGCGGCAGACTTGGCTGGCGTTGGTGTAGCGCTAAGCAGCCAAGCCGAAGCCGCACTGCTGGACTGGTTTCCGATTAATACCCGACTGTGTGCAGTTTAACTTCGGGTATCATTCAGAATCAATAGATATCGTGAGAAGAGACAATTTGTGATATCAACTTACACTCCAAATGACTGCAGCTGCGACCCGGTCAAAGACGATTTCTATAGCAAACCTCACCAGCTCATGAACAAAGCCTGGTTATCTGATATTGTTGTCCTTGCTGGGGATCCAAATGTACTGTAACGTAGATTCAACTAAAACAATCTAACCTCATGGTTTAGCAAAGCTATCAATCTTCCCTGGCCGATGCACTCAGCTGCAACCCACCGCAAGGCAACGGAAGAGCCCGATAACGAAGCACTGCAAGATAATTACAAATAGACTATCTACTCTCTCGGATGAAAAAATAATAAATCGTCAGCTGTACGCCGTAACGGTGCTTCGCTGCCACGCGACCACCATTAGTCGCGCGTGGGCGGAGTATACCGCGAGGACGCCCGCCCCTACGGGGATTCAAACAAGTGACTATAGGATTGCAAGCCAAGCGTGCAGACCACTCGGCCACTGGTCAGTTCAGCAAAGCTATCAATCTTCTATGACCGATGCACTCAGCTGCGATCCACTCCAAGGCACTGAAGGACACTGGACGTTCATGCATAGGACCATGATCGGTGGTCAGCATGTGCTTGATGAGAGCCGCTCAGGTAACGGAGAGAAACTTATCAAACTGCGAAGATAGTTGCCTGTTTCTCTCGAGCACCAGCTTCCGGCATTTGGAGACATTCCGCTACGTCGCGGCCCGCTTCTGCGTCTCAATCATGGTCTTAAGTGGATCATATCGCAACCGGTTTCAAATAGCGTAGTGTACAAGATGGCAGATCAATCTGATCCACATTTCTTGACTCAG